GATGTACAAATGCGCTTTACACAATTGATGTGTGTGTGGATTGGGATAACAGTTGTATAAGCCCCTAATAAAATGTTAAAAAAGAGAAGAAGAAAAAAAAATGTAAGATAAAAAAAAAAAAGATATAGCGTCTGGGGTCTTAAAAGCTTGAAGATAAACAAGTAGCCATCTAGCTCAGAAGCAACAAAGCCCACATGGAAGAAGCACACCATCCTGTGTGATCATAAGGTGTTGATGGGATCAGGTATCAGGCATCAAAGACCCAGAACAAAAAATCTTATCATTGTGAATGAAGGGGAGTGTGGAGGGGAGACCCCAAAGCCCATCAGTAGACAATTGGACATCCTGTTACAGAAGGGTCACAAGGAAGAGATAAGCTAGTCAGGGTGCAGTATAGCACTGTTGAAATATACAACTTTCCTCTAGTTCAGCGGTTCTCAACCTGTGGGTTGCAACCCCTTTGGGGGTCGAAGGGCCCTTTCACAGGGGTTGCCCAATTCACAACAGTAGCAAAATTACAGTCTGAAGTAGCAATGAAAATAATTTTATTATTGGGGAGTCACCCCAACATGAGGAACTGTATTAAAGGGTCGTGGAATTAAGAAGGTTGAGAACCACTGCTCTAGTTCTTTAATGCTTCCTCCCCCCTACTATCATGACCCCAATTCTACCTTACAAATCTGGCTAGACCAGAGCATGTACACAGGTACAGATAAGAGCTGGAAACACAGGGAATCCAGGGCAGATAAAGCCCTCAGGACCGATATTGAGAGCAGTGATAGCAGAAGGGGAAGGGGAAGATGGCGTAGAAAGGGGGAATCGATCACGATGATCTACATATAATCCCCTCCCAGAGGGACGAACAACAGAAAAGTGGGCGCTGGGAGACATCTGTCAGTGTATGACATGAAAAAAATACAATAATTTATAAATTATCAAGGGTTCATGTGGGAGAGAGTATGAGGGAGGGAGCGGGGGAAAAAATGAGCTGATACCAAGGGCTCAAGTAGAAAGAAAATGTTTTGAAAATGATGATGGC